TTCGTCTTCGTCTTCGCAAACCTACGTTCAGTAATTCCCTGTTGCTAATCCCCTAAGCCAGCTACGAGGACTGGTTCGAACACTTCTCGGAAAATGCACTTATTTTTCATTGCCCACTTTACGCATCAACACGCGCCCCGGTGGCCGGCTGGATACCCCTCGCTTGGGCGGGGAGGGAATTAGACCCCTCTGAAATCTCAAGAACTAAAAAGGCTAGAGACACCAATTTTACGGGGTGTGTTAACCAGTACGTGAAATCACTTAGGCCGAATTTTGAAGCTCCTAGATCATGACCTTTGGGTCAAATAGTGTCAAAGAAGATCAAATTCCAGGTTAGTCTCAAAAGTGCTCCAGAGCCCAAATAAGTTTATAAGCAAAAAGTCACATGCTCATTTAAGGTTAGTGAACTTGTTTAATCTTTTGAAGGTCATGGTGACCAAAATCATACAAGACTACTATGAGTTTTGCATTTGAATAAGCGACAAAGATTACGTTTGGCAGTATGTTTCTAAAAACAAAATCTTGACCTGGATTATTTCAGGTCAGTGACCTATTGTGACATCTAGGAAGTCCATGGAAGACGTATAACGCGGTTCCTACTGTCAATGGATTCGAAATGAGCGCCAGAAACTATTCCATACAACAAGCTCTCGAGTAATAAAACAGATTCGCTTTGACCTTGGTGTGACATTCATACCTCACCTCAGGTCAATGTAATTTTCTCATTCATTATTTATGTTGCATAAGAAGGCATCTCAGAGATGTATGGCTTCGTCTAAGACTCCGTTGTTCCATCAGACTGAACGAGTCCCTAGAAACTGACTTCGCTGAAACCATGGCCTGACTTTGACCTGCCATAGGTCGGCGACCTTACAAGGTATATCTAAATTGGTAATACCGAACGATCTGCTGTTTGTGTACAGAGATGCAAACTGTGGCGCGGCTACAACGCGCCGCTCGGAAACCATACTGGAAAACCCCTCAGGGGGATCAAGCTGACCCACGCCCGAGCGCGTGTTAATAACCAGATCATTACGGCAGCACGTCTTATACCCAATGCTCTTGCCGAAAGCCTTGCCCAGTGTAGCTCCCCCAGAAATACCAAGCAGGCTTCGTGGATCTTGCGCAAGTTCCTTTTTATTTACACGCTAATTGATTTGCTTCCGATAATACAGAAAACTGTAATATACCATTTTCTTTCCTAGAACTCCAAAATGCAAGAGGGTACGCCGGGAACACCTCGGTAGGCAATGATCAATTACTTTTCCTCTCTGCAATCTGTTTGAAAGCATGTTTCATATTATTTTGACGGGTTTTAATGGTTTGTGGCCTTCCCGCGTCTATCCTGAGGCGTGGAGAGACACCATCATGACTGTGTTTCCAAAACCAGGAAAATACATCAAAAGCCCATCAAATAATTGCCCCAATGCACTCGCAAGCTCTCTAGAAAAAAAAACCTTTTTTAAGCAAATGGTGGCGAAGTGGATTTCCTGGGTCATAGGACGAGACTGCCTGCTTACAAAAAATCACTGCGGTTTTAGGCACGATCGCAGCACAATAGACCACATCACACGCCTTAAACTGGCAATAGACGTTCCTTTCAACATCGTCATTGCACGACTGCTGTCTTCCTGACATTAGCCGATTGTCTACGACGTGCTTTAAATGTGCACTTGTTCTCAAGCTCTAACACTTAGGGAGTAAAGGCCATTCAGCACATTACCTCCTTGTTTTTTTATATTTATCATCAGACCATTTCGTACGCAGTGCAGCTCCGCCGTTTCTGGTACTCACCATCTGGAGAACGGCCTCCCATAGGGGAGCTGCATCTCACCGATGCTGTTCAATTTCATGTCGAACGAATTATTTGGCTCATTACCACCGGGTAGTTCCTCCCATATTTTGCGGACGAAAGCGCAATCTGGTGTCCGGACGCTGAGTATGACCATTCGCTGCCACGGCTCCCATCCGACCGGAACAACGTGCAGCGGTGGTCAGAGCGGCACGGGCTCCATTTCGCCACTCCAAAATCTGCACTTATGGTTTTGAGCAAAAATATAGGTGGTACTTATAATTTTCGGCTCCAATTAGATAGACACAACAATCCTTTCGCTTCGTATTTTCAATTTCTTCGTGCCTAACTCCACCCAAGATTATCAATGCGACAGCACGTGAAATATGTTCGCTCCAATTACCTTAGATGACTATATTTTTTTAGATGCATTTCCGGGGCACGGTACGGTGCCGACTGCGAAAAAGTTATTACTTCTATATAAATCCTTGGTTCTTCCAATAGTTTAATGTCGCTCCGTGGCATACGCAGGAGGGAGCCGACACACTCCTCAACCTCTACACAGTATGCAAACTATGTTCTTGCGAATGACTCGAGGAGTTCTGCGCACTAAGCCATTTTCAGCGCTTGGAATGTACGCGTACGCTATGCCTCTTGCTCTTCGACGAATGGAACACACATCACGATACGTAACAATATGGCGACAAAATTCCAATCACCCAGGTTTAAATCTATGCATATCTTGGCTCGCATTGACCACGACTGGAGAGGGCCTAAGAACGCCGGTCGGAACAGACGCTAAGGTCTCGGACCACTGTCTACTGCACCACTCTTCATTTTGTATTACCCCACTCTTCCGTGCCACCTGGTGTAATAGCATCACCATGACAGTTCATCACATGAAATGTTTCGTGTCTTTTAGACGATCCCAAACATTTTTTTTACAATTTCCTGTTGCCAATAATCGAAATAGCAGTTTTGTTTACACCGATGGCTCCAATGCCAATTACCACACCGAATGTGCAGTAATTTGCACTGAACATTGCCATAAAAGTCGTCGGTTACCGGATGGCACCTCAGTATATGTGGCTGAATTATTTGCCCTTCTTCTTGCATTACAGCACTCTCAATAACGCACACCTATAAAACGAGGGCAGTAGTGTTTGTTCGGATTCGAAGAAAGTTATGCAACCTCTCATCGATTCAGACTTCACTCACCACCTCTTCGTTAGCATCTTCAGTCTCTATCATATGTTAAACACAAAGGGCATAAACATTAAATTTCTGTGGGACCGGGACATAGCGGCATTACGGGTAAACAGCGGGCTGACCGACCAGCCAAAGAAAGCTTTGACAGCCCGGTTGATTATGCATCTGCGAAACCTTTTATTTGCACTCTGAAAAAACATTTTTTGGCAACGACGATGGACCGATATTACCATAAGGCAACTTATTGGTTTGCTTCAAGCAGTGTAAAAGTCAGCAAACGTGCGTGTTTTTTTTTTCTTCAGCTACATAATTACACCGATTTAAAATGATATTTTCCCGACGTGCAATTGCCCAAACGGGCCGAAACGCCTCACACAAATAGCATTCAAAATCAAGCGTCGCGAAATACAACATACCGTGCGACCTGACAACGGAGTGTTTCTCACTCTCCGTGATCCGGTCCACTCTGGGCCCGTTTCACTTTCTGTCAGTCCGGATCGGCACCACCTTGTTGCCGGTACCGATGTTTCACACCCAACCAGCACAACCACTGCTAGTCCCGGCCACTCACCTGCAACCAGCCGGTTTAGCACGGGCCCTGGGGTGCAGGTAATCATGCTTGTGTTGCACTGCACGAGGCTCAGATCATCGATTGAGAAAAACAACAGGGCAACTACTGCCGCCTTTCGCGATCGCAGAGAAGATCCCTTCCTGGGTGACTGTGTGACTTCATCGGCATACCATCGCATTATTTATCAGATTTAGCGCCAAGTGGTCTGAAACTAACCATGACGGTTACCGTGACAGGCAGCACTATATGCTCCGTTTCTTAACGCTCCTTCCTTGACGCAAGACACCGCATTACTGCGTCCTGGGGAGCGGTGCTGTGACGTCATCATTGGACTAAGCCATACGGCACCAACGCTATGGCGGCGTGAAAACGCTGTTTTTTGTGCGCTTGTTTAAACACATCTTGGCCGATTTTTCGGCCTAGCACATGCAAGGAAATATTTTCAGCTGGGAACTGGTGTGGGTTTGCACCAGAGCTGCAAAGTCATTGCTGGCATGCGTTTCCGGCCTACCCCGACAGAGATAAAAAAAACTCGTTCACCAGTGATTTATCCGAAAGCGGTCTAGCCGAAGGTGCTTACGAACAGGCTGTGTAAAGGAGTACAGCGTACAACAACAGGATGGGAATGAGACACGACAGGCCAGACGAACTCGTGGCACCCTGGGACGCGCAGTGATAAGTTGGAATCACATTCTGTAGACTTAGGGGAAGCGTTTTCAGGCAGGATGCAGTCCGCACTCATGACCGTTACGCTGCGAAGCAGACAGCTCGTGCCACAGACAGTGAGAGCTTTCAGGCGAGCAACAGCGTGCGGCGGGCGGTAGCAGGAAGGGTGCCGACCAACTCACTGCTCAGATGATGGCTGCACACCGGCAACCCGGACTGCTAGGGCATGATCAGCTCCAGTAATAACTGCCTGTACGGCGAACACGCCTCCAGCCGCATTCCAGATCCCAATGTGCACGCAAGCGGCGTGAGATGTTCATCTTTACCGTACTTGGCACTCCCCGGTCTACGTGGACGACACTCGTCCACAAGATTCGCGAAAACAGAACAGCCAGCTTGTCCGTTATTACAGTGGTACTTATTTTCTAGCACGCGAGTCCACAGAAACCGGCAGAGAAATATGCGGGACTATCGGTGCAGGCTGATAGGAAATGACCGTATTAAGAGCCACCATGCTGAAAAAGACCCCATGCAACGAATGCGACGGGCTGAGCAATGCAGCTTGTCACGCACACAGATCAACGCCCGGCGGGAGCCTACTTCAAGATAACCCAGTGAGAGCATTGGCAGAAGGGCCAGCCTGGCGCAGACCTATCATTTGCTCAGCCTCGCACGAAACATCGTCGTATTCTACGTGTAAAGGCCTCCAGGCAGGCGGCGGCACTGCACTCTGCCGCAGCATAGTCGGAAATAAAATGCTACTGACAGCCATTGTTGCGTTTATTGTCGATGTTACAGCGAGTAAACGTCTCCGGCTAAATATCGATCGACCGGGCTGTGCACAAAGTTCACTGAAGAGCATGGTTCCGCACACGGCAGAGATGCCGAGTGAAGTGACAGGTTAAAGCGTTAGCAAAGCGTAGCGGCTCAACAGCTGATAACGCGATATCCAGCAGCGTGATTGCAGTAACTTCACTCGGGTCGCCCTTATCTATATTCTTTGCGGTATGATTATCAAAGAACAAACCAGACAATACATTTCCAAACAGAAAATCGTGGCGACCGGCCGGCGTTGTAATAAGTCCAGGCTCGTGTCCATTCAAAGACGCGTGGTGCTCGGGTGGTAACCAACAGCGTCCATAACCGTTCTTAGCACCAAACCGTGATCACACTGACAAGGACGTGCGAGACGCAGCTACGTATCACTACGAACCTTGGATGCCATTAATGTTATATCAGTGAACTGACCCATCTGAAAAATTCCGGAAGACTGTTGTCTGCGTCCTTCCCAATAATCACAAGCGCTCTCAGCCCGTGTCGTTGGCAGACAGCACGCGCTACTAAGCTGGACAGGGCGCTGCGGCCCAGGCAGCGTTACCTCCTTGCTGGTCGTTCTCGGACACAGGCGGTGGAATCGGCTATTGGCTACAGCAGCACTGTGTCGCAGTTGACGTCCAGGGCGTACGACTGAAAGGGCCCAAAAGCAGTTCAGCTGCGTCATACAGTATCGGACGGCCACGCACACTTGCGATCAGCCAACTTCAACAGCCGACCACGGAAAAAGCAGAGCCATGCTACTATTCTCGTAAATACGTCTCGCTGTGTATTTAATCGGACCATACTCGTCAAGAGAAAACATAATCAGGTGACATGTGGCTGCATGAAAGGTTTTAATTTACCGGCCCGATAACAAACTGCTTAGTTATATCGTGTTTTCCATAGGTAGCAGCCTGATGCAGATTGATGCCGTTTGCGTAAGGATTTGTTTCTCACCGCGCTCCGGGCGAACTCTGTCTGGTAATAATCATACACGCTGGCCACCGCCCGTTTGGCATCTTCCACCTCCTGCTCCCGCTGTACGATGATGCCGAAACAGCGCTCCTTTCCATCCAGCGAGTCGAAGTAGAAGACCACCTTGTTGTTGTTGACCTCCCAGCGCTTCAGACCTGAATGGAGTATGTTTCCGGTCGTCAGAAAACATGATAAGCCTCCGAAACGGCAGCTAACTCATACAGCTTATCTAAAGAGCCTGGCAACTCAGATCTAAACTTCATGCCATGTCTAATTGCTAGATAAAGAATGTGTTCCTAGTGTTGGCAGAGCCAACTCAGATCTGACGACCTGCTCGTTAAAAACAGACAACTCAGATCTGACGACCTGCTAATGGAAACTGACAACTCAGATCAGACGATCTGCTAGTGGAAGTAGACAACTTCAGATCTGACGACCTGCTCTTTAAAAAACAGACAACTCAGATCTGACGACCTGCTCGTTAAAAACAGACAACTCAGATCTGACGACCTGCTAGTGGAAACAGGCAACTCAGATCAGACGACCTGCTAGTGGAAACAGACGACTCAGATCAGACGACCTACTTGTTAAAACAGACCACTCTTATTCGACGAACTGCTGGTGAAAACAGAAAGCCCAGATCTGACGACCTGTCAGTGAAAACAGATAACTGTGACAACAGGAAGGCATATGTCTATTACGTGCCATCAACTCCCACTTACCCAACTCGACGTTCTGCTTGAGGTCATTCAGACTTCCCTTGTTGGGAATGAACCCGCTGACCATGTCCAGCTCAACCACAGCCATATTGGTTTCGCTATCCTCCTTCAGGTAGCTGACGCAGATGTCTTAAAAAGCACAACATTGCCATGTTATCATAACAACCAGGCAGACATGCCGTCATCTGTAAAACCCGTTGAACGAGAGATGCTTTCGAACACTTTTTTAATTGCACTAGGCACTGCAGTGTCTTCTGATGCTTTCACAGAACAGGAACACTGCAAGCTGGTCAAGAGCCTCCTCCCATGACATTCCCTCGCATCGCACTACATATTTAAGATCAAACCGAGCAGAGGCTGACGAGTGGCCTGAAGACCAGGTGAGACAGGAGAGAGCTAGAGGAGTCACTAGGCGCGTCACTCGTCTCACCTATGGTATGCTTCAGACATTCCCGCTGGTTCATTTTGGGCTTGGCAGCCACGTTGATCGTCAGTGCGTCGTTTGGACCGGCTGTGTACACGTTGTATTTCAACGAGGCCTGGCGAAACAACCATGTTACTTGTCATGCGCGTGGTGCACGTACATCGTCATGCACTGCTGGAGCTAATTTGTATGGTGCAGCAGACAAGGGCATGTCTCGGGGTTCGCATTCCCTGCATGTTATCATTGAACTGAATGTCCTTTACTCAGGCTCTCAATGAATCACATCAGCCGTCGAACAGCTGACGCGATAACGCTATATACTAAGAACACGGTGTTCAGCTCTCACACAGTTTACTGAGATACATTCTCAGCAGTCTGGCACCTAGATGATGATTATGATGATTGGGGTTTTAGGGCGCGTCGACTTCTAGGGTCATTTTGCGCCCATAACAGCTAAGTGTTTACCGTGGTGTATAAATGGCTGTGAATCCTACGCTTCTCAAAAATGAAAACAGCTGTCCGGTGCCAAGCATGCGAGAATCGTCACCAGTAAGGTCTGAAAAGGTAAGACCTAACACATCTCCTCCGAAGTAAAGTGCCCGCTCTTCTCTGAACTGTGGGCAAGAGGGAATAACGTGGCGAACCGTAAGTGGCGCATCACAGCGAGGACATTTAGGGCGTTCTTCACCGCACAAAAGGTAGCTATGTGTTGCGTGCGTGTGGCCAATTCGTAATCTGCTGAGGGTTACTTCTTCGCGTTTCAACTTACGTGAGCTTGAAGACCATACACCCAGTTGTGGCTTGATCATCTTTAACTTATTGTTTACAATGGCGTCCCAGCAGCGTTGCCATTTCCCCTTTACAAAGGTCGCGATTGCAGGGTAAAAGTCCCTTGCCGGCAAGGGTAAAGAACGGGTGCAAGGTGCACGCGCTGCCCGTTTTGCGGCCGCGTCAGCACGCTCGTTACCTGCGATACCCACATGACTCGGTATCCAACATAAGACGACAGTTTTACCAGCAAGATCCAGCGCTGTCAGGCGAACTAAAATATCCTGTATAATGGAACATCGTGGGTTATAGGTTTTCAGAGCCAACAGGCCGCTCAAAGAATCGGATAAGATCACGTGTGAGTTGCTCTCACCAACTTCGATGAAGCATAGGGCTTTACTGATTGCAACGAGCTCGGACGTGTAAACTGAGGCGTGTTTCGGTAAAGAAAAGGACCGGGTGGTTTGGTCATTCACAAATGCGGCACCAACGCCTACCTCCGTCTTGGACCCATCAGTATATGTGGCTTCAAAACCTATGTACAACCCGATGTGCTCCAGAGCCTTCGATCTCAGGTCGCATGGGATCGCTCCCTGTTTGCTTGTGCATGAAGGGGACACACCCACTTTTGGTGAGATTAGCTCCCATGGAGGCACTAATACGGGACGCAACCATAGCGGACAGCCTTCTGCTACTTTGGAACTTGCTTTCCCCATCACGTGAAAAGATTGCTCGGTGAGTCGGATGGTTGGGAAATTGAGCAGGCTTGCAAAAGTACCGCATGCCAAGCATTTCCCTTCTCAGTGCCAACGCCGGTTCATTAACTTCCACGGTAAGGCTAGCAGCTGGCGACGTTCTGAATGCCCCCGTCACAATGCGTAATGCGGTATGGTGCACGGTGTCTAATAAACGTTTGCAGGAACTCGGCGCGCTGCCATAAATGAAACAGCCATACTCAAGTTTCGAACGTGTAAGTGAGCGGTATAGCAGTAACAGTGTTCTTCTGTCCGCTCCATAAGATGTTCGACATACATACTTTAATATGTTCAATGCTTTAAAACAGTTGTCACGTAGGGTTTTCAAATGTGACCCATACGATAAACGGTTATCAAACTGCAGACCCAAGAAGCGGGTACTGGATTCGTTCGGGATGGTCTGGCCGTATAGCCTTAAAGCCATAGCGGGGCATTGACGACGTCGTCTGCAAAAGTGCATAGTGACTGTTCTCGAGGTCGAGAAACGTAGTCCGTTTATAACGCTCCATCTTTCCAGGCTGATCACAGCCAACTGCAAGCGACGTTCCAAAGAGGCAAAGTTTGACGAGGCATACCAGATGGTGACGTCATCCACGAAGAGAGAGCGGCTGACCGACTTTGGAAGGGAGTCACCAATATCGTTAATCATAACCGCGAACAAAGCGACGCTCAAAACGCTGCCCTGGGGCACGCCATTGTCTTGTTGGCACCTATCCGAGAAGTGTGAGCCAACACGAACTCTGAAAGAACGATCGGTCATAAAGTTCGCTAAGAACGTGCCCATGGCTCCTCGAATGCCATAATGAAAGAGCTTTTTCAGGGTGCCGTAACGCCACGTCGTATCATAGGCTTTTTCAACATAAAAAAACACAGCGCCAACATGTCGTTTTTCCCTAAAACTGGTGCGGATGTTTGTGTCGAGAGCTATAAGATGGTCAATGGTACTGCGATTTTTCCTGAATCCACATTGAGCAGCCGTAAAAACGCTGCACCGCTCCAAAAACCACGACAAATGCACATTTACCATACGTTCCATCAACTTACAAATGCATAATATCAGTGAGATAGGGCGATAGTCTGCAGGGTCAGCCCCACTCTTACCAGGCTTGAGCATAGGGACAATATGTGACTCACGCCACGACTCCGGAAAACCTCCATTCTTCCAGAGTTTGTTGTACGTCGCTAAGAGGGCCTCAACTACTGAAGTGGGACGTTGCTTAAGCATGGCGTTGTGAACTAGATCCGGACCTCCTGCCACATTGCGCAGCGATCCGATCGCGGAAATTACTTCGGCCATTGTAAAAGGTCGCTTATACGACATCTGCTCCGTCGTGTTGAAGTTGACAGGGGATGCCTCGCAGCGGATCCGGTGACGCATAAACTGCGGGACGGCATCGCCGTTACCACACCGTTCGGAGAATGCGCGGGCGATTTCATTTGTTGCGTCAGCTGGGTGTATAATGTCACGTCCATTGATACGGAGCACAGGGTGTGGTACAGACGAGTGCTGTCCCGCAATGCGCTTGATCCGTGACCATATATTGGATACAGGTGTTTGGCAGTTTAGTTGGCCGACGTACGATCGCCACGATGCCCGCTTAGCCTCTAGAATGGTACGTCTAGCAGCCGCTCGTGCTCGTCGAAATGCAATGAGATTCTCAGTAGTGCTCCGACGGCCAAACTTTCTAAGGGCCCTCCCACGTGCACAGATTGCGTCCCGGCACTGCTGCGTCCACCATGGGACAGGAGGACGACGAGGGCAGCGCGACGTTCGCGGTAAGCACCTTTCTGCAGACCGCAAAATCAGCGATGTCAAATCCTCTACCGACGAGGGTTCACTCGCTGGCTGCATTGTAAGGGAATGCTCGATCCTCGCTTGAAACTCAGTGCAGTCGGTTTTTCTAAAATTCCAGCGCTGTGGCCGAGAACCAAGAAAAACGTCAGCCCGGTACTTGATCCAGATGGGGAGGTGGTCACTTCCCATTGGATCGTCTGACACCGACCAGTCAAAATGGTTGATCAGTTGTGGGCTCAAAAGACTTAAGTTGATTGCCGATGTCTGTCCCGATGGGAGTGTAAAATGGGTACGCGCGCCCGTGTTTAAGAGGCACAGCGATTCTTCATGTATGAGGGCTGCGCAGCGTTTCCCGCGAGTGTTTGTCTTGACACATCCCCACGCTGAGTCGTGAGCGTTAAAATCACCTAAAATGAGGACAGGCGGCGGAAGCTGAGCCAGCAGGTGTCTCAGATGAGCAGACGGAAACCCGGTCCCCGGAGGCAAGTAGATTGAGCATATGGTGATCGTATGGTATTTTAACAACACTTGACTGCGATAGCTTGAAGCTCAGTATTCAAAGCCAGCCTTTGTGCACACACGCTGTGGTGCACGGCTAGGAGAACGCCACCATGAGCAACAGGGTCAGGTGGTAAGTCTCTCCGCCAAACAGCATAACCCGAAAGACTAAAAACGCTGTCCGGTGCCAGTTTTGTCTCCTGGAGACATATCACCGCCGGACGCCGCTCGTTAATGCATAGTTGGAGATCCTGGTAGCTTGTTCGGACGCCCCTACAGTTCCACTGTAAAACATTCGTCATGGAGCTAAGACGTCAGGGCGGTCGTTAGCTTCCTATCACTCCATGGCATCGACACCTACCGGAGGGCGGGGGCATGCGTTTGAGTTGTGAGTGTAAAACAGACCTACTTTTAAAAATACTCGGCTGCGCCGGCCACAGCAGACCCAGACGGTCCAGCTACGGGGTGCAGGGGCCCACCAAGGTCTGATCCTACCGACGCCGGCCGGGTCCTGGGCCGAATACGTGGGATGCCGTCTGTGGGCGAGATTGGCCAGGGGGGGGGGGCCACGCTTTTCCGGGCGCCCCACTCTAGACGGGGACGGCGCCGGCGAAGCCGTGACCCTAGATGGCAGCGCAGGAGGAGGGCCCATCGGTGGCTTCCGAACCTCGGATCCACCAGGGGCCTCTGCGCTTCGTCTGGGCGGTGGACCGGCTTCCCCGCGGGAGCACGTCCCTGATCCGCCCCCGGCAGCCGGTTACTCGCCTTCGTCCTCTCTTGCTCAACTAGACGCGCTCGCTTGGCTTCGCGGGCGCGCCTGTCAGCTTCTTGACGCTCCATCGTCTCTGCCACGCGTTCACATGCACTGGTGAGGGGTGTCTGTGATGAGGAGACCGGTGGTTTCTCAGACGAAGGAATACCGGACGGCGCGGGAGGGCTGCGGCCACGCCGAACCGTCGTCCACCCGTCACATGTTGGCGATCCAACTGGTGCCGAGGAGGCCGGCAGCACGGCGGCCACCGACTGCTCGGTTGGTGCGGAGGGAGCTTGGGGTGCTGGCTGTGAGTCCGGGGCGCGTGCTGAGGGTACAACTGATAGGCCAAACGGTCTCAAAAGTTCCAGAAATTGAACAGCCGTCATGTCCTTGATCACGTTGGTGTGCGGCAACGAAGCTTTCACTTTCGATGCGTACGATGTTTTTGGGTGGGGCTCGTTATAAAGTTCTCGAGCCTCACGGAATGATACGTTTTTACAAGTTTTGATTGATATGATTTCCTTCTCCTTAGCGTAGGCTGAACATGCACGGTCGTAGGACATGTGCGGAACCTGGTCCTTGCCGCAGTTGACGCAGTGGGGTTTGTCAGAAGCACATTCTTCGCTTATGTGCTCGAGGGGCGCACATTTGCCACACGCAGCGCGGATCCGGCAGTTGGGTTTCGTGTGACCAAATCGCTGGCACTGATAGCACCGCATGGGGTTAGGCAAAAACGGACGAACTTTTACGCAGACGTGTCCCACACGTATCTCGGATGGTATGTCGGGGCGACTGAACGTGAGTGTAAAGTTGTTCGTGGGCACTAACTCTCCTCCCCTTCTGACATTAATCCGTCGAGCGGTGGTCACTCCAAACTCCGAGAGCTCCTCCACAATTTCTTCCTCGTCAACGTCACTGCAGGTCAAAACAGTTCACCACGCCCCGGGACGAATTTTTCGTGTTATGTGGTGTCGCCGACATTGACACTGTTTTTTCGCGTTTGCCAGCCCCATCCCCGAACACTGTACGAAAATTCAGTTGCTTCCATAGCCCGACTCGCCTCCAAGTCACTAGCAAATTGAACTTCTATTTTTCCATCTCGGAGCTTGTCACATCTCATAATTTTTCCAAATTTGTCGCAGCCATTTATTCTCTGAAACGGTGACAGGGACGCCAACCTAATCTCGTCACTTCCGAAGACGAGGATCCGTGGTCCGGGGATAGCAGATTCGCCTCTGCACCCTGGAGTTGTCGAGGTCCGCCCCCTTTTCAGAGGACGGGTGTTTTTAAAGGTAGAGGATGCCATGGAAAAGGGGGTTTGCATTTCGGCACCGGGGCTCCCCACCCACCACGGAACCCAGCTGGGGGACGGCCCAACACTCCCTAGGGAGGTGGTCACCGCCAGGGCTACCCCGGTGCTATACGGGGAGAACGACGCCTCCCACACAGCCAGGTGTAACCGGGGAGACCCCTCCCCGTCCTGACCGTGGTTCAGCGCCGCCGCCCCTTGACCCCTAAAGCCGCTGCGCGCGGCCAGGCGCCCCAAGCGAAGACCGACAAGGGGCAACCGCAACGCGAGCGACAAGCGGCTGGACCCGTGTGGGGCCCCACGGCCCCCCCACGCCCCTGATATACGGATATCGGCCTGATATACGGATATTTGGCCACGGATATCCTGGCCAAAGTGGAGTGTTGGGGCGCGCCGTGACTGACCCGCACGACGCGCCCCTCAGCCACCAGGATCTGACCAACCCGGGGACGTGGGCGAGGGGGCACGGCGACCCCGACAAAACGAGGATGAGGAGTGGTGATAGAGCCAGATGCGGGAGTGCGGGTAATGTGGAGGGAGCGGGCGGGACAAGGAGCAGGAGCTCACGTACCGGCAGGGTCGCTGTGCCCTGAGAGGAACAACTTGCACTGTCCACCCGTTACCAGAGCTGGGACCCGAGGGCGCGCTAGTCCCCTACACCGACCGAAGCCGGTGCCCCTGCGGGTCTGGCACCTAGACTTCACGGCCGGCGGTGCATTCGATGCCGGCTCTGATGTGAACTAGGGTACATCTGGCACCATCTGAGCTTCCCGTGCGTGTGACCTGCTTCAGCACACATCAGTTATCATAAAGGTTTCATTGCAGGTATGCCAGCAACTGCAAGTATGCCAGCGCAACCCAACAGCACAGATCATCTTCCTTCCTCTGCCCTTCTGCACATCTCTCTGACTCTACCGCCACCAAATCTCTCTCTCTCTCTCTCTCTCTTCTCTCCTCTCTCTCTCTCTCTCTCCTTCTCTCTCTCTCTCTCTCTCTCTTCTCTTCTCTCTCTCCTCTCTCTCTCTCTTCTCTCCTCTCTCTCCTCCTCTCTCTCTCTCTCTCTCTCTTCCTCTCTCTCTCCTCTCTCTCTCTCTCCTCTCTCTTCTCTCTCTCTCTCTCTCTCTCTCTCTCTCTCTCTCTCTCTCTCTCTTCTCTCTTCTCTCTCTCTCTCTCTCTCTCTCTCTCTCTCTCTCTCTCTCTCTCTCTCTCTCTCTCTCTCTCTCTCTCTCTCTCTCTCTCTCTCCTCTCTCTCTCTCGGTCGCTCTCTTCTCTCTCTCTCTCTCTCTCTCTCTCTCTCTCTCTCTCTCTCTCTCTCTCTCTCTCTCTCTCTCTCTCTCTATCTCTCTCTCTCTCTCTCTCTCTCTCTCTCTCTCTCTCTCTCTCTCTCTCTCTCTCTCTCTCTCTCTCTCTCTCTCTCTCTCTCTCTCTCTCTCTCTCTCTCTCTCTCAACCGTGGTTTAACACGGTTGCTCCACCACTGACCTGCACCAGGGCGCAGCCGGTGCCCTGTGCTCTGACTTGGACGTGACCTGGCAGCAGCGTGACGTCACGAGTTTGCATCAGTAGCAGATTGTCCGCCGTCACGCTGATGACGTCGTTCAGCGAGTCGTCATCGGAGACGTGTACTCGCAGGTCGGCGCTGCTGGAGCGAGGCAGGTTGGCCGAGAAGGCGGCCAGTGCCTCCAGCGCCAGCACCGTATCCTGTCACGACCGCCCGCCAAGTGAGCAGCGCACAGGACATTGCAGAACCCATTCGATAAGAGTGGGCCGGACTCAGGGGTACAACAGACCCCTCCGAGGGTAGTGAGCACAACACATGGGTATGAAAGTCCTCTCCCTGGGAGTGAGCAGGACACACAGGTAGGACAGACCCCTCCGGGGGTATTGAGCAGGACACACAGGTACGGCAGACCCCTCCGTGGGAGCGGGGGGGGGGGGGGGGAGTGAGCCGGATACGCAGGTGCGACAGGCCACTCCGAGGGGTGAACAAGCCATACACATACAATGGACTCCTCCGTGGTGAGTGAACAAACCACACAAGTACGGTAGTCCCCTCCGTGAGGGGTGAGCAGGATACACAGGGGTATGAGGTAGGGGTACACGGGGAGGGGTATGCAGGATACACATGTACGGCAGTCCCCTCCGTGAGGGGTAAGCAGGATACACAGGGGTATGAGGTAGGGGTACACGGGGAGGGGTATGCAGGATACACATGTACGGCAGTCCCCTCCGTGAGAGGTGAGCAGGATACACAGGGGTATGAGGTAGGGGTACAGAGTGAGGGGGTATGCAGGATATACATGTACGGCAGGCCCCTCCGTCGGGAGTGAACAGGACAAACAGGTACAACAGACCCTTCTGAGGGGGAAGGGGCAAACAAGCCACACATGTACGACAGACAGCAGGCAATGTGTGGCAGTGTCGTGACCAGCTAGTCCGGCAGACACGTGACGTCCACCCCAGTGATTTCTATGACCTGCGTGGACACGAAGCCGCCGCGACTGTTGCGCTGCTGGGTGATCCAGCGCACGGCACCCAGCGCGTCGCTGAAGTGCTCGCTGCTGTCGTCACCGGCTTTCTCCAGCAGCTTCATCGTCAGAATGTTATAGGCACCCATCTCTACGCTGAGCGCCCGATTCTCGTCAGAGCCTGGTGACATACACCACGATAAGGTTTTGAAAGTACGCTGGTTAACCGCTGTTCGGGATAGACCCGGAATTGAGGAAGGTGCGTTCAGTACATTAGATTCAGTGAAATGCGGAAAATGGTGCCATATTTCATATGTGCTCACTGTAGAGTTCCATCAAAACGCACGAAAGAGAACAGAACACACACAACTGTGCACACTCAGCCTTCACCAACGCATTCTACAAGTATATTGGGACAATTGTGAAAGCACAGCAGCTATCACAAGCTGATCAACTAGCCTTCGGACGTTCAAAGCACCACTCCCTCCAGTGTGTGTTACTGTTGTGCCGGTGCAGCGGGATAACTCTCACCTTCGTTGCGCCAGTACACCAGGCCCTCCTCCCTGGTGGCGCGGCTCTTGAGCTCTGTCAGACCAAACCGCGCCTCGTCCAGGCGGCCGGCCACGGCGCGCGCGTGCGTCAGCAGCGTCAGCGTGTACAGGTCAGAGCTGATGTCCTGGGGAAGGCACATGGCGGCTGATGAGCGGCGGCCAACATGGCATTCCACGGACGGCGAGCGGTGGCTGACATGACATTCCACGGACGGTGAGCAGTGGCTGACATGACATTCCACAGACGGTGAGCGGTGGCTGACATGGTATTCCACGGACGGTGAGCGGTGGCTGACATGGCTTTCCACGGACGGTGAGCGGCGGCGAATACAGTCCCAGAGGTGAGCCCACGGGCGGTGAGCGGCGGCCAACACGACCCCGGCGGTAGCTAACCCACGGACGGTGAGCGGTGTCCAACACGGTCCCGGCGGTAGCTAACCCACGGCCGGTGAGCGGCGGCCAACACGGCCTCAGAGGTAGCTAGCCCACGGACAGTGAGCGGTGTCCAACACGGTCCCGGCGGTAGCTAACCCACGGCCGGTGAGCGGTGTCCATCACGGTCCCGGCGGTAGCTAACCCACGGACGGTGAGCGGTGTCCAACACGGTCCCGGCGGTAGCTAACCCACGGCCGGTGAGCGGTGTCCATCACGGTCCCGGCGGTAGCTAACCCACGGACGGTGAGCGGTGTCCAACACGGTCCCGGCGGTAGCTAACCCACGGACGGTGAGCGACGTCCAGCACGACCCCGGCGGTAGCTAACCCACGGCCGGTGAGCGGTGTCCAACACGGTCCCGGAGGTAGCTAACCCACGGACGGTGAGCGGTGTCCAACACGGTCCCGGCGGTAGCTAACCCACGGACGGTGAGCGACGTCCAGCACGACCCCGGCGGTAGCTAACCCACGGACGGTGAGCGGTGTCCAACACGGTCCCGGCGGTAGCTAACCCACGGCCGGTGAGCGGTGTCCATCACGGTCCCGGAGGTAGCTAACCCACGGACGGTGAGCGGTGTCCATCACGGTCCCGGAGGTAGCTAACCCACGGACGGTGAGCGGTGTCCAACACGGTCCCGGCGGTAGCTAACCCACGGCCGGTGAGCGGTGTCCAACACGGCCTCAGGGGTAGCTATCCTACAGCGCTAAGTCACTCACGTCTATGTGCATACAAAGGCAACAGGTGTAATAAGAGCTAATGGAATGTGTCCATGCACACGGCGGTAGACATAAAAGACCAGCCTTTTGGTGAGCTGTTTAACCCGACGATGTGGTGCTTAATCGGACGCCTCACTACATAGTGCGGTATGGTATAGTGCATGCGTCCATCAGAAACACAACCACAACCAAACACTGCCAGAGAACGGGGGAGGAGGCAGGCTGCCCTTCTTCCCCACTGTAAGCAACGCATGTTTTACTAAGCACCATAGAGGACTCCTTTATTTATTTTATGGCAAGCACTCAGCGAGCTCCGACCCTCCCCACCCACCCCTTCCTATTGCAGAATTTCTGGCTGTGCCCTGACTGTAACGGTGCAAGTTTGTTTCATCTATGGATCATTTTATCGCTTTCTGCACGTAAGATCCGCTTCTGAAACATTTCTTTCTGGTATTCTGTTGTATGGTGAGGTAAAAGGGAGCGAGTGATATTGTTACAGAAGGCAAAAGCGATTATTACTTTGGCCACAACAAAATTTCCTGATAAATTTCATGTAACAGTCGTTCTCGGCTGCTTTTAGGTTCGTCCCGCGGAGCCTACGGGCTTGTTGCGGGGGTACCAAGCCGGAGGCTAGATCCTGAGGGTGTAAGTTGAACCACATGTGCAATATTACGTTTATATGTATGAACTGAGTGACTGAGCACGATATCCTATTGGCAATACCTCAAAAATCTTTCGGAACCATGTAGGCCAAAGCCACCAAAATAAGATGAAGCATCAACAGCAAGGCTCTAACATGCATCGCACAGTGAAGAAATGTTGACCTACGCAAATAACCAATGCAGTTGCCGCGCCCTTCAAACTCATTAACTCAAACCTCAACTGCCGACGCATCTAGAGTCAATCACGCCGCCCAACTATTTTTCAGAAACCACCTACAGCGATCACACGTGTCTCTGAGCCGTTGGCTGACCTGCGTCAGGCAGCGGAAGGCGCCGTGGACGGTGTTCTCGCCCAGCTCGACCCCCGACTGCAGCAGCGCGATGGTGATGTAGGCCGTCAGCGCCTGCTGGCCGCCGGACCCAACGCCGCCCTGAAACACGTCAGCCTTGCTGGTCCCCGCAGACATCGGCTGGGTCCACACGGGGAACAACGGCTATCACGTGAGGAGCGGGGCAAACGGCACTGGACTTCGCCGTTGGCGGACGGGTCAGAGAAAAACCGGCCAAGAGCAGACAACATGCAAGCACGGCTGCACAGGTATGAGTGGTGAGTACGCGACACGAGAAAACCCACATGGACCCCTCCGCCGCTCAGCCCATGTGGTGCGCCCCCTTCCCCCCCCCCCCCCCCCCACCCCACCCCCAGATCCAGATCCAGCGGTAAGTACATGCACCTTTCAATCCACTCAGTTGTAGATACTTGGCTAAAGTTAGTTTGAAGGCAAATCTATGACAGCGTGCCACGGGCGCAAGGGAATCAATGCAGACAAACACAAGATCTAACCTTCATTTTTTTGTTGAGAACCGTCCCCACAGATGGGAAGCAGCCGCTACCCAATTGATGGGATTCGATCCATCGCACACCTCCTTCCAGATCAGACTCGTCGATGAAAATGAACTCCTTTGCGTCACCGAACGACTTGATGACAAAGCCGGTCAGCCACATGGAGCCTGAGGCGTCCGACTTGCCGAATGCCGAGTAGGATTTGTCCTCGTGACGGTAGCCCAGCTCGCTCTGGTAGCCTGGGGCGAGACACGGGTCACGAAGGTCACGGTAACGAGCGCGCTGGAAGTCTCACGAGTTTTGAGCCCAGCTGTCCATGAAGGTCTCCTAGAAGGGGCTTTATCTTAAGGAAATAGGTGTACATTTAATAATCTTACTGCTCTGGTGGTGCGAACTACCATGAGCAGTTTAAATCAGAAGACTTGTTCGGTTGCTTGGTGCAAAATACCAAGAAGCGATAGCTTGGTTCTGACGCATGCCTGATCATTTGGGTTCACAATTTCGTATGTGAATCTCATACTAGTTAGGACTTCAGTAATAAACGTTACATAGAACGGGATAAAACGACTTCAGGGCACGACGCTGACTATGATATGTCAACTTTTACTGATTTGTACCGGACATTTGTGTGCTAGTGTAATGTTATTCCCAGCCTGATCAGCCGAGTACCTGATCTCATAAAGCGGACAAGTTTATCCTTGATTTGCTCAGTCAGTTGACCAACTGCAGTCAAATACTTCATGACGTGAATGTTGGGAACGAACAGCACCATGTTCTGTTCGCCGCAACCGGTTGGTTGCCGTACCAGCGACTCCAGGTTCTGAGAAGTACAGAAAGCTTGAACATATCTGCTTTGGCTTTAAACGGCGCAGTTAACGCATCCATGATAACAGAGGAAATCACTTTAATGACGTAAACGAAAATGACTAGAGCAAAAGTGGGACCGTTGCCATACGTTACACGGCTGGGAGCATAAGGATGTGCCAACAGAGAAGGTCATGACTTCTACAACAGGTTACTCGACAACTACTTCAGCCTCACGCGGATATATTATGTCGAGCACATCCAGCGAACATCTGCCATTGTGTATAGTGCGCAAGTGACGTACGTCAATGCTGGGTCCCAGCAGGTCTCCGACGACGGCGATCTGAGGCCCGCTCGGAGTCGGGCACCAGGTCGGCCGGCAGAAGCAGCGGCCAGTCAACCTCCCGTCTGTTCGGTCCGCTCGACAGGTCGGCACCCTCCGCTGCCGGCGCACGGGTCGGGTCAGGGAAGCGGTACCCAAACAGGGCGAGCCCTACTGCGGCACAGGACACGTCCGTAGCCATGCGGCGGGACGATGAAAGCCGCGTCGCGATCAAGGAAACTACGCCAACACACGGCTGGGCGTACGTGCGTCCCAACACTGCCAGTAACGCCGCGCCCTCCAAACCGTCACTAGCCTGCAGCTACACCGGCACCGGCCTTAGTCGTCCCGTTAACATCCGCTTTGGCAGCGCACTCACGGCTGATGCACATGAAGAAGGAATGGATGACTTCATGCTCGAAGCCCTCCGGTTCCACCAGAATCGGCCTGGTCACGGCATCCCTGCGCAGATGGTAGTCGTGTTGGCTGCATGCATTCACCGCAAAATGGGAAATCGGTTGAGAGCAGTTACGCCTTCAGGTCTAATTGAAACGAAAAAAATGCTGACATTTTGATTTTTCAGCAGATACCTGTATGCCATTCAAGGGCACAAACGTACATGCACCTGACTGAATAGGGAACACTACCGGTTCATTTGCAACTCTTAACATCCCACCCAAACCAGGGGGTCTGGGCTCGTGTCTCGGTTACGCACACCTGCCGTGTTTAAAGCCGACTTACACGGCGTGCGCCACGCTCCGTACTCCCGCAACGCGCAACGCCACGCACCTGAAGTAGGGCACCACCCCTGAGCCACACTCGGCGGGGAAGTCGGAGTACACTTCAGCCACCACGGTGATGTTAACGTCGCCGAGCTGGCCGGGCCGCAGCCGGTACGGCACGACCTCGGCCACGCCGGTCGACACGCACGAGGTCACCACCGGCGCCGAGAGCGTCTCGAACTCGTCCGACGCCACCAGTGTCAGCTTGACCTGCGGCCACAGGCGCCGGTGCATGTTTAGCGTCCACAGGACCGGCGGGATATCGCGTGGGACCAGTAAGGTCCGAGCGGACAGCTAGTACAGCTAGTGCTGGATTCAATTTTATCCAGCATGTGGCGTGTGGTGACGCCGAGCACCGACAGAGATAACACGAGCGAGCAAGATAACACGAGCGGAACAGAGCGCTCAGGAGAGCAGCGAGGACCCACCGGCAGTGCCTCTTCGTTGTAGTTGAGCACCGAGACCTTGAGCACCAGCGTCTCGCCGCGTTTCACCGAGTAGGGCAGCGTGTAGCTGACGAAGAACGGCTGGAAGCTGGTGATGGAGGCCGACGGCGCCACGCCAAGGCCGGCCGTCTCTGAGCTGCACACGGCTCCGCCTACCCACTCGGTGATGGTGTCCGGCACCTTCTGTGTCAACGTCACCGAGCCGTCGTCCCTGCCAGGTGCGGGGTGGCCGGCTGTGACACTGGCCAGGCGACCGAGGAGCGGCACGAGATCGTGACTTGATGGTGTAACTGTCCTAGTTCCTGCATGTGGCACGGCGAGTCTTAATGTGAACATGACTAACGGTACGGAATCGTGACTTAATGGCGTAACTTTGCCCTATTTCCTGCATGTGAGGAGAGGCACGGAATCCTGGCTTGATGGTGTAGCTGTCCTAGTTCCTGCATATGGCATGGCGAGTTAAAGTGCTGAAAAGGACCGACGCTTAGGGTATTAGAATGTGTTCGGTAAAGGGCAAAATCAAGAAATTGGTGTCATTTATTGTGATTAGACTCAAGTATACCACTGGCCAGGTTTGATTTCAGAACCAGTGATTGCATGATAGCTTGATCTAGCAGATTCCGTTGGTATTCCAAGGCTATTCTCAGCGCAGTAACACATAATGTTTCCACAACCAGGAGATTGCAAACATTTTTCCTAACATCACCTTGCAAGTTGCATTAGTTTCGAATTTTTAGGTGGACGCATTATACACACTGTGCTGAATGGTTACACGTATACGTGACCGCACTCGAACGACATAAAACCATAGCTAATCGTGTTCATGAAAGTTTCAGCAAACCCTTGAGCAGCATCCGAGTACGAGAATCAACGGCTCAAGTCCACATCCAAGGCAGCCTCGTCCTAGTCGGTGCGTCCACGTTTGTCCACTGACCCGACTGTGTAGAGGTCGAACAACCACGTCTCGCGGAAGTCGGTGCGAACCTCGTCAGGCACCTCGGACGGAGGCGGCGCCGGGGCGTCGGAAACCACTGCTGAGGGGACCGGGTCCGGGACTGCTGGCATCGGTGGAGTGTGAGCACGTCGCCTAAGAGCAGCGAGCGCATGCTCTCTTTCCCTTTATAAACTGTACTCTACGAGAACTGTGTAAGACCACGACGCCATAGGCCTCCGAAAAGACACAAATCAGTCGTGGATCATCATCGTATGGTTGATGGGTGTGGAAAGCAATCATGCATGAGGTTATTACTACACTGCATCACCACCCGTGACTAGCGCGGGTGAAGGACTTGCGTCAAATTAGCTGTATCAGAGAGCAATCCGTTTCTTGGCTTTTGGTGCCGGGTATTGGGTCGGCTAGATGGGAACGCACCTTTGGTGGAAGTGACGTAGCTGGAAAATGTTCGTTGTTGTGTGGTTGTTAAAACTTGTGTGAAGAGGCCAGCGGCTATAGACCAATCGGTGCTAGTAATAGTGCCTCCGTGGGTAGAGATAAGACGCCAAGGATAAGCTAGGCGGATTTTGGCAATGCAGTTGCGCGCCTCGGTGACAAGGTCCGACAACACCATGACTGAGCTGCTCTGAAACAGAACGGTCCCAGGCGAGCCAGGTCAGCACAGACACGACCATCGAGCAATGCAGCTACAGCCTATGACGCCGAAGGTAACGCCAAGTACGAAATATGCACGTCAGCTGCAAAACACTGCGAAAAAAGCAGTTTCTTGCATGTGTGTCGGCAGCACCTGACAGGAGCGTTGTCAGTCAGTTTTCGGAGTATTGTCCGTCTCCTTACAGTTAAATCGGCATTCAGTTGGTCGAATACTTACATCGAATGCGGTGAGCGAATCCGCATGGGTCGAAGCCCAGCCGTAATACCGCGGTGGTGCAATAGTAATACCCGACTGGAACGGCCTCCTCCGCCTGGCCGGCATGGCTGGTGGGGAGCCAGGGGGGTCCGAGGGCAGCGGCAGTCCGTCTGGCACACACCACAGAGTTACGTCACCCACACGCGAGACGCACGTAAGTGACGTCACAGATGATCTCGTGACACTGACTGAGGACCTGAGGTCGCTTAGCCCCGACGTTATTGGCTGTTCAGTGTTTGGATGTTCGATGACAACGGAAAACAAGAGCAGGCCCGACGAACCCAACCTGAACGTGGAAGATCGGAACGAACAACACTAGTGAATTGTCTACGAACCTTAACATTGGTTTATCTAGTTCAGCCATTGGATAATCTCCCCCACATTATTAACATCAAATAACCATACATCCCGTATACGTTTCCGAAAGTATCCATTTTAGAGGGAGTGCCTCATTTTTATATGGGGTTTTGAACTGAACTAGCCATCTTCAAGATCATTTGGTCCAGTTCACAGTTCTGCCCTTCTTGAAACCTAAACCTCGATTGCTTCTGAGGTTCACGCCGGGGAAGATGTGCAAACTATTTCGGGGAGACTATTTCAAGGTCACCCAGACATCCATGCCGCCATAGTAACACTATTTAGATCCTGTAATTTTACTAGCCACACGGCGATCAAAGGCAAAACTTTTGTTGAGTCGTCCATGCCTGGCGTTGGCGGGCACGCCTTCCAGACATAATGGCCGTTAATTGGCTGTCAGTCAGTGCAATGTAAGGTGCAATAACAGTAACAGTAATAAGCAGTCTTCCACTTACAAGCATACCTATAGCTGTAAGCGATCCTATTTCATCACATGTGATGCATGCTTCAACGCCTTCAAATGTTTGTCATTTCCTCTAATGCCACGCGTCTTGCCCGAAAAATAGTGTGCACTCCTATCCGGTGTTGCAAATGCCTGAGCCGCACTGACTGTACTCACGTTTGGCCCTGCAGTATTCGTCGTCGTTGATCTGACTGGTGCCAACACGCGAGGTGAGAACTCGAAGTCTCCTATAGATGTCGGACAGCGTGATCTTGTTCTTATTGCCGAGTAGACTCACCGATTTGTCAACCACATCTATAAACGGATTTCATCGTGATATAACACCACACATTCACCTATTGATTTATTTCATCACGCATTCAACTATTCAGCCCTAAGAAACGTGATGCTTTGTGCGAGAAATCATAATTTGTAGAAAGGAAAAAGAAACGGTCGCTTTTTAACGGCGCGAATCATACAAAAAGCCAAACAAATATTAAGTATGTCGCTAGTGTTTTCAGCCGGCATACGGCATCTGCGCCGAACAGTATGTACTGAACTTTGTTCTGCGTTAGATAAGACATATAATCATATAATCCACCATGGGATGACTGAACTTCCAATTATATTACCACGCGCCCAGGTGGCCGGTTGAATGCCCTTCGCTTGGGCGGTGGCTGGAGGGCGAGCAAGTAACCCCTAGGGCTTCATCACCTGAGAAGCTACAACTGCCATATTTACAGGGTGGGTAGGTTGGTATGCGAGTCAAAATCACTTAATTGTAATCACTTAGTTGTTATCAGTTGAGTCAAAATTTGAGGTTTCTGGGTCATAGCATTTGGGTCAAATGGGGCAAAAAGTCTAACAGCAGACTGGCGTCTAAAGTGTGCCAAGACCTCCTCGTGCAACCGCCTCCAGCCTAAATACGGTTCTGAGGAAATTATGACCGATGTTCATTTAAGGTCAGTTACCTTATGCAGCCTTAAAGTCATGGTTAATAAATGCATATGTTATGTGAGCAGCAACAGCCTTATTCCTCTGAGAAAAACCAAGAGAATGGAGAAATAGATTGGTATTATATTGGCATCATATTACATTGTTTGATTACGTTATCCTATCTTACATTTAACCAATCTATTTCTCCATTCCCCTGGTGTTTTTCCGAGGAATCAGGCCATTACTTCTGTCTTATTTAAGTGAAAAATATTCCTCGCGAATGCACTGACCAACTTCAGCGCTATGTTATCTTTGTTTTTAGATTTGAATATGCGTCAAGGATTAAGCTAGGTGGTTTGCTCCTGAAAATATGTTGACCGGTGCACTTTAAGGTCAGTGACGTACTCTGACGTTTAAGAAGTCCACGAAAGATGTGTGTTCTGGTCCCCAACATTAATAAATTCGGAATGAGCACCATAAGCTACCACATGGAGCATAACCTCAAGTAAAAAATATATTGGTTTTGACCTCAGTCTGGCCTTTACGCTTGGCCCTAGGTCAATGTCATTTATTGTAATTCTCAAAGGGACTGTTTTATCGCCCAGAGAAGCTATATCAGAGATGCAATGTTTCGGCTAAAAATCCGTTGTTTCATCAGATTGAAGGTTTTCCTAGAAATTGTCTCCGCTGATAGTCACCGCTAGACTTTAATATGCAATAGATCAGCGACCTCACGAAGTGCGTCTAATTTTTGTATAAAAAATTATCCAATACTCGTTTGATTACAGTTTTGCAACATTCAACGCAACACCGCGATGCACACCGCGTTGTTCGGAAATTATTTTGTAAATCCACGTGAGCGCGTGCTAAGCTCTCTGAAATGTTCTTCACACTCGAGGTATTCGACCTCTCGTGAATTTTTCATAACAAACACAAGTAGGTAGTCGCGTGGTACGTGGTAACACGAACATGATAATGATCTTTTTTGATGTAAAGCACTGTACACAAACGAACGTGCACAAGCAGGGAGGGTGCATAGTGTGTTCAGTTCAGTACAATGGAGCTATGCGCGTGCAAAAAAGAAAGAAAGCGAAACTCTAGTGTTTGATCTTACAAAAAGGTTGGCAGACAGCACTTGGTTGACGAGCTCGAGAGTTGGCCTCAACGACAGTGAAGTGATTTGTATCATGACTTCATGCATGGTCAATGGTCACATACATGTGGAGCCACTGATGCCTGGAGCACTTGCGCTGTTGCATGACCTTATCCTCCGACTTGATGACGGGGTGCCTCATACACATCGCACAAAAGCGGGGTGACAGGCTTCGCCGCGAAGTACACACACGTTTGCAGGCATGACAAATATCATTACGTAACGATACAACAGTACTTTTTGCCTTATTCCTCGTAGGTTAACCAGGAGAAAGGAGAGACAGATGTATTTATATTTCGGCTATAAGACTTGACCGAAAGGAATTTCAGTAGTAAAATTGGAAGTCGCCTGCCGATCCTAACAAAATTCTTAGGTTAAAAACAGCTGTGGCTCGCTGTTTGAAGAAAAGCAAGTATCAAGAGGGATCGGCAGTCAATTTTGAATTTACTCCTAATTTGTGTTATCTCCCCTTTCTAATTATTCAACCAGGAACAAGGCCCACAGGGCTGGCTTATATAAATGCATCATGTCCCTCGCAAATGCACTTAGAAAATGACGTAGTCACTACATAACCTCTCATAGAACGGCATGCACTATAGCAGTGACACAACATAACAAAGAGGACGGAAACTTCGCAGACGCTGGGACTGAAGTAGTTTCGGACTTTGCACGATCACACCAATGACGTAAGCACACAATGCACACTGAGAGCAGCCAGCCGTTGATGAGCTTGGCTTTAGGTAAAGTATTGGCTCAGACAAATGTTGAGAAGGGTGACACGGGCGGACGCTGACGATAAATTATCCCGTGGATGGTGCGTGTCCACCACTCACCAAGAACCGACTATCACGCCGTAAACGGAGAGTTCCCCCCCTCCCCCCCCATCCCCCCCCCCCCCAAGACCGGCTGTCACTTTATGGACGGAGTGTACCCACCACTCACTGCAAGAAGATTGTCAACCCGTTGTCGGAGAGTACCCACAACTCGCTGAGAGCTGACTGTCTTCCCATGGGTGGAGTGCACCTACCACTCACTGTAAGAAAGCTATCACTCCGTGGACGGAGAGTACGCACCACTCACCGAGTCCACAAAGGGAGCGGGGAGCTGCCGTGACCGTCAGATGCACGGTGTCCCGCGGCTGGACACGGTCAGGCGACCAGCGCAGCGACACCTGGTTGTCCAGACAGCGCTCCGCAGCGTATGACTGGCTGTCCGCGATCACCTCGCCATCAATCACCATGTAGACCAGAACATGGAAGCCCGAGGACATGGATGACGTCACTGGGATCGTGAGCGCCACCTGACCTGTTGATGCAGACCGGTTGGTGTTTCCCTGCTGCCCGTGGCTCACCGGCCACATGGGTAACAGCTGGATGATGACAGTATGTCAGACGCACAAACTGTTACGGGGCTGACATCTTGGTACAGACACATGCAAACTCCAAGATGGCCATAGTTTTCTCACTCCTCAGTCATGCACGGCATGATCAGCTGCGTAGTGTCATCGCCACTCCTTCAGCTATAATGTCCGTTATGTACTGTGTACTGTTCTGGGCCAGGCGCTTCAAATGCGGCGGTGCTTGACTGTGTTGGACGCAGTGTGTGACGCTGTAACGGCGCAGAGCGATTTCCATCGCGAGTGCAGCAAAATCGTGCATTAACAAGACACTCAACTCAGGCCAGCTCCTAAGCTACACGCTCTGCATCACAAACCGCCCAGTGTCAGGGACATATCTCCTACCGCTCCGTCTATCGTGACACTGATTAGGCGACCCAGCCGCACCAGCCGGTGACGCCTCTCTCACCGACGGGATGGGACCCGGACACCGTGGGCAGGTTAACGACCCTGCCCTCCTGCAGTGCAGAGGCGTCGACCGCCTCGGAAAACGTCACCGGCACTAAGTCCGCCAGCAAGATGTCGCTGTTGGCCGTGACCTGACGCGCCCGGCGAACACAAGGTCAACACGCTTCTCCGACTGCAGGCCTCGGTTCTGCTTCGCGAGTTGCAACAGCGTGACCGCTAAAGGCACATCTTCAAACAGTAGCAGGTGTACAAGCCTGTCTTCTTAAATAGCATAGCTTCTATTAACGCAAGTAAATAACGACGTCTGGTGTCAAAACATTTTTATCTGTTGCCAATATCAAGAGCACGATATCCAAAGTCAGTCTGAATCAGTCAGATTGGCAGAATTAATCACAATCTGAATCAGAGTCGGGCCAAAGCCAGGTCCGAGTTTGAATCACATCAAGGCATTTTACATTCAGAGACCTACAAGGAAAGTGCCTTATTTTACCTCCTGCGCAGCATGACTTCTTCATTTGCAGCTTTCGAATGTTGTCTGTACAATACACTCTCAATGTAGCTCACCTGGTAAAACAGCTCGAACTGCGATCCCAGACGGGTCGTGAAGAAGACGTCAATGTGGGCCTCAGCGCCGCACGTGAACTCCTTGCGGGGCAGCCGAAGCAGCTGCACAAAGGCTCCTGACTCAGAGGACCAGCCCGTGATGTCGTACTTGAGACTGGGCGATTTCATCCATGTTGATGGGTACCAATTGCGCCGGGCGGAAGACCAACTGCTTCCGCCGTACGGGTACCTGGTCTCGGATAGGCGCGGTATCGTGGCCTGCAGCGAAAGTAACCGGGCTGACATTCCACGGAAGTTTGCCCGCGCGGTGAGCGCGGGTAGCTGGGTGGTTGCCCACGCGTCAACGGTCGTTGGAATGTCGCTCTCGCAGTGATTAAGTTTTTTCCGACTTCACGTCGCCGGCATGGGAAGTGGTGTTGCTTTTACCCCGCGTGCGGGTGGGGGTCAATTTGCCCTCTCTCCCAAAAGTTATTGCAAAGTAAGTGGCTAACGGCACCTGCAAAGCCGCACTTAAGTTTGCGTAGTCGCAGGCAATTGAATAGCGGATCTGTTAGCTCACCAAATTAGATGCACCTTGTAACGTCGTTGACCTATGGAGGTCAAAATCACACCGAAGCCGTCAACAAGGACAGCTAGAGAAGTCGTTCAATCTGATGCGACAAGGCAGTATTAGAAGAAGCCATGCATTTCTAAATTAGTCTCTTAGGTGATGAATCAATTGAATTTTGGAAAGCAACAAAGTTCATTGCCCTAGGGTCAGGTGCGAATTCCAGACCGAGGTCAAACCAACATACTTTTTACTGGAAAACCTTCTTATTGAACGGTTTCTGATGCATATCTCAAATTTCTTGAACACAGGGACCGCAGCAGACATATGTTATAGACTTCTTATATGCTAGTGGGTCGCTGGTCTTAAATGACCCAGCTCTATCCTTTTTGTTTTTGGAACGTACCGCCTATCGTAATCCTTAAAGCGAATTCAAGTTCAAAATCAAAATAATCTTCTTTATTCCATATACCCATGATCAGAAGGTCAAACAAGGTCACCGAACTAAAATGATCGCCAGTGACCTTTTGTTTAGAACCGGAATTTAGGTTGAAGGCGGTCACATGAGGAGATCTAGGGACAGTTTGGACATCAGTCTCCTTTTTGATACTCTTTGACCCCATTTCACACGATGCCATGACCTATGTTGATATGGACATCAATTGTTGACACAAATGAGTTCGTATACCACCCAACTCAATTTGTGAGTTGCTGTGAGTTGTGAGCTTTGTGTTTCTATTTTCTTTAGTATTTGATATCACAGGGCGTCAATTTGGCTTCCCACCCGAGCAAAGTGCATTTAACCGGCCACCTGGGCGTGTATTAAGCTGCGTAATCGTTAGACCATGAATAGGCTATGTGCGTCGATTACAAATCTGAGACATTTCCACCATGCCAACTTATGGACACCTGAAAGGCATTGTCAGTCACAACTAAGAAAGGAGGATGAAATAGACGAAATCGTCTTCCTCAGCGCGCAAAATAAACCACATCCACACATGCACACGCACACGCACACGCACACGCACACGCACACGCACACGCACCCGTACAGGCACACGCCCTTACAAACACGCACAAGAACACGCACACGTACTCGCACACGCGCACGCGCGCAAACACACACACGCACGCACACACGCATGCACGCACGCATGCACGCACGCACGCAAACACGCATGCACGCACACACGCATGCACGCACACACGCATGCACGCACGCACGCACGCATGCACGCATGCACGCACGCACGCAAACACACTCCGTCTCCCCTGCCGTTTCTGTTCTCTTCATAGAACGTTCAGCTTTCACTAGTCTACTGCGTGAAACCAAACAGGAGAGACGAAACGTTGCGAGAGCTAGACCACCCACGCACATTTTTTACCCTTTTACCCAACTCTTCACATGGCTCAGTATGGGGTTGATCGGGAGCGAACACATGATCCCAAGAACGGGCGGTCCAGACGCGCAACTTGTTTGCGGCGGAGGTGCACAACAAAATGTTTTCATTAAACACTTAGGTTAGCGCAACGCACGCATACAACATTTGTCTCATGGTATAAAAACATCAACGCGCGTACGCGATTTACTTATATTTATGTGTCTGTATCAAGTTGTCTAGTGTTAGCATGTAGTAACGAAGATATTGATGTAATGAATAGTGTAAGGTAGGGGCAAGCGCCGCCGGGGCCAGCGAGCGCGTAAGTCCCTATTGCTGATGTTGATACAAAAACGGATCCCCAGACTCGCTAACCCGAGTTTCTTGCCGTTTGCTATCACAACAAACGCCACCATTTTTAGGCGTTTTATCAAATACCTGAATCGATATGTCTTCGATTTTCTGATCTTGAGGTGGCACAGTGAACGCGACCACACCTTTGCTGTCAGACGTGACGTTCAGACAGACCGGATCGGCAGAAGACCTGCAAACGTACAGTCGTGCAGAGTTAGAGAGCATCACTTCCCGAGTTACTGGGAACTTCCCAGTCATTGGGGACTACACTCGTTTAACATGCGTCCGGGTGGCCAATGACAGCGACGCGCTTCGGGTCGGGGAAGGTGTCAAGATAACCCTTGACATCTCCAAGAGCAAGTAATCTATGGATACTAAATATACAGTAGGGATGGGTAGACCAATATGTGACTCACTCGTGTTGGGCTTTAGGGTCGTAACTTTTGAGTCAGAGAGTTCAAATAAATTTAAGCACCAGCTCGGCGTCAAAAGGGCCCACAGACATTCTCATGAAACTACCTTTAACCTAGATTCATTTCTTAAGCAAAGGTGCCTGGTGTTGATTTCAGGTCAGTAACTTTATTTGACCTTCAGAAAGCCACGGCCACCAACTACATACGAAGTTGTGGGTCTTGAAGGTTAAAAAGCAGCAAGTACTACGCCGAAAGGCGTGCTATTAACAACAGTAGGTCGATGGGGACCATTTTAGCCCAGTGATATCTGTCTTTATGAGGTACAGATAAGAGGTTTGCTGGTGTCCCTGTAAGCAAGAAATTCAGAATAAGCGTGAAAATTACTTTGACAAAATAGCAAGCTCTCAAGCTCGGCTCAAAAGCTCCGTAAACAGCTGTAACATTATTCGAACCTGACACATGGTCATTGAAATTTGTCAAGATCTTAAATAATATTTCTAATTGTCCAATAAACCCTCTCAAGGATGTATGGATTTCGTTAACAGTCTGTTATCGCATACAATACATAGTTGATAACAATTCACTAGGAGTTGCCTTCACTGACACAAATGGCTTGAATTTAAACTGTCAGAGGTCAACGACCCTTACATGATACATTAATTCCGTTATCACAAACTGTCGGCTATTGAATTGTCCACAGCTAGACGCAGTAAAGCAAATCTACGAAGCGCGGTTTGGAGGTCATTCTGGAAAAAAATCTTCGGGGGAGGAGTTAGATTATCCCCACCCAAGCGCGTGTTTAAGTATGTTGTCTATAATCTGTATATCGGAATATGCCTATGACCAGGACTGCCGGTCAGCTCAAATTTCACAAAGATCGGGGTAACCAGTTTACTTTCTTATGTCTGCCATTTACATAGATAACTATTATTTCAGCGACGGCCAGGTTTTAAGCTAGCTACGATCCTGGCTTTGCGTCAGCCCATTGTCACATGCCAAGTTCTTCTTGGGACGTCGAAGCTCGGTTATTTTCAGCACAAGAACTCATAATGTTAAAGCACCAGTGCATTTCTGCTGGTCAATCTCATAAAATTGGGTGAGAACAAAGACCGAAGACACTCACTTCATGGCGAATCCGAGGTCTGTCGTCGTCCGGTGGGTCTCAAAACACAGCCGAACCAGCTCACCGGGAGCTGGTGTGTTGTCCGGGTGGCGCACCGTGATCTGAATGTGGCGGCGGACGCAGCTGAGTTAAAGACGGAGCCAAGCACCTCCAGCTACACTTGACACAGCTGAGTTAAAGACGGAGCCAAGCACCTCCAGCTACACTCGACACAGCTGAGTTAAAGACGGAGCCAAGCACCTCCAGCTACACTCGACACGGCTGAGTTAAAGACGGAGCCAAGCACCTCCAGCTACACTCGACACAGCTGAGTTAAAGACGGAGCCAAGCACCTCCAGCTACACTTGACACAGTTGAGTCAAAGACGGAGCCAAGCACCTCCAGCTACACTCGACACAGCTGAGTTAAGGACGGAGCCAAGCACCTCCAGCTACACTCGACACAGCTGAGTTAAAGACGGAGCCAAGCATCTCCAGCTACACTCGACACAGCTGAGTTAAGGACGGAGCCAAGCACCTCCAGCTACACTCGACACAGCTGAGTTAAAGACGGAGCCAAGCAGCTCCAGCTACACTCGACACAGCTGAGTTAAAGACGGAGCCAAGCACCTCCAGCTACACTTGACACAGCTGAGTTAAAGACGGAGCCGAGCACCTCCAGCTACACTTGGCACAGCTGAGTTAAAGACGGAGCCAAGCAGCTCCAGCTACACTCAACACAGCTGAGTTAAAGACGGAGCCAAGCACCTCCAGCTACACTCGTCACAGCTGAGTTAAAGATGGAGCTACTCACCTCCAGCTACACTCGACACAGCTGAGTTAAAGACGGAGCCAAGCACCCCCAGCTACACTCGACACAGCTGAGTTAGAGATGGAGCTAAGCACCTCCAGCTACACTTGACGCAGCGATGTTGGAGAAGGAGCCAAGCATCTCTAGCTACACTTGACACAGCCGAGTTAGAAACGGAGTCAAGCACCTCTAGCTACAGTTGACACAGCTGCGTTAGTGACGAAGCCAGGCACCTTTAGCTACACTTGACGCAGCTAACTTAGAAACGAGGCCACGCATCTCTAGCTACACTCGTTACAGCTGAGTTAGAGACGGAGCCAAGCGCCTCCAGCTACACTCGACACAGTTGAGTTAAAGACGGAACCAAGCACCTCCAGCTACACTTGACACAGCTATATTAGGGAACGGGCCAAGCACCTTCAGCTACACTTGACACAGCGGAGTAAGAAACGGAGCCAAGTATCTCTAGCTACACTTGACACAACGGAGTTAGAAATAGAGCCAGGCACATCCAGCTACACTTGACGCAGCCACTCGGCAGCAGAGCACCAGGACACACATACTTGGTGTACCGACAGACAAGCTCTGTTATCTTTGGGTGGTGCAGCACGCTTAGTAGGATTCCTCCAGGCTGGTGCATCCGTGCGCATGAGAGTTTGGCTGCTGCGGTGTTTAGCGTACGTTGATCTACACAATCCCCAGGAGGGGAGGAGCTGACCCAGCGTAAAGTCGCCAGATCCCACGTTGGCCACTGAAATACTTGTGATTAGCAGGAGACCCAACGTGCTTCACGTCAGCATTGATACACTTGCGGTATCTGATCACCATGCCGTGTCCGAATGTAATGCAGGCTTCAGGGGTCGCCACCTCACAACCAGATAAAAGCACCAATAGTGCAATTCTGCAAGTAGTCCCATGGTACTCTATCAGGCATTTGCACGTTACGAGCACGTTGCGTTTGAAAACAGAGGGGATATTAGGAGAAATGTAAAAAAAAAGAATTTAAAATAAAAGTGTTATTTCTGACTAACCATTTTTTATCATGCTCATTCCAAATTCCGAAGAAGCTGGCCTTCAAAAGAATTTGCTCTCATCTCACCGACAACGAAATCCTTTCTAAGAAACTACGCGGGCCCACAAACACGCACCCTAAATTCAGGTGTTATATCTCACGCACCAACGTCAATGAGCGTTGAACGGGAAAGAGACTGTAACGCTTGTGTAATTGATCATCTCCAATCCTTATTTATCAACATCCAGCATGCTTGTCTTGCGAAACACAAAACTAAATGCGTCACCACCTACATTTGCATGGCTCGTCTCAGCTAGAAGCTTAGCGACCGGGACCAATTGTTCGCGTCGCGCAAGTCCTTCAGAGTCAAATCTATCTCTGCTCGCTGCCTTCAGGCAAAATACAGAAATGCCATTTTCCACGCGGATGATGCCTCTTTGCATTTCTCCCAAACACAAATCAGCGAGAATCCACACTTCCTTTACGCCACGACCCCGATGCCTTCCAACAAATTGGCGCTTAGCCCGTTTGGCACGTACCTGATCGGCGAAGGGAAGTCCTGGCTTGAAATATTTGCTTCTCTGGTTTTCAGTGTCCAACTTCAGCTCTTGGTACTCAACGGTGAACGTTTTGGTGCTGTTAATCGTGACGTCAGTGCCGTCCTCTGTTACTTCGGCGGTGACCTTGAAACTGCGGGTTTTGGATCCGAAGCCGAGGTCTCTGCTACTGATATGGAACACGGGACAGTCGTCCTCGGAAATCTGCCGAATTGTGTACTGTGTTCAGACGGAGCCGCGCCAGTCGGCGGCCGTTTGGGAGACGTTTCCGCCTGCGTCACGGTTTCGACAGGTGACAAACGAAGATTGTATGGCAGTGCAGGTATGCAGTGCATATTGTGGCATCCATGCATATCCTCCGGCATTACAACAGAAACAAATAAGAAGTACCACGTTATGAATTCATTTAGCGGCGTAAGGTACCAGCCGTTTCGAAAAAGATGGATTGCTAACGTTGAAAAACACTGCTAACGGTTAAAAGCACTGATTGCTGAAGTTGAAGAACACTGATTGCCAACGTTGAAAAAGCTCATTGGTTACGTGCTTGTCAGTGAAAATGGGATTTTTTCAAACACATGATCAGCATGTCCTGCCTAAAAATGATGGAAAGATGGCATTTCTGAACTTCCTGAACAGTCTGAGGCACGGGTATCCATTTGTATTATTTTCGGTGCGCTACTGCCCCTCGCTGTCCGATCCCCCCCCCCCCCCCCCCCCCCCCTTTCCAGGTGAGTTTGCCCCGTCCCACCTTCTGGAGCCAAAGCACTGGCAGGGCATTGCAAATACGGAGTCCAAATTACCTGTATTTTAGTAGAAGCTAACTGTTTTACATGCAAAAAGAGCAAGGAAAATGTCTGGCTGCAGAAAGTTACGTTCTTTTGTCGATACGGTACCATGTGTTACTGGAAATTACAACACACCGGTCAAACGTTGGCACAGAAAATTGTGAGCAAATGTTTAGCCGGCAGCAGCAAAAGAACCGCTGAAACACGCTGACCTCCATTTAACCTCCAAATAACCTCCAAAACAGCGCCAGCCCTGTCAAACACGCTTTACACGAGTGCGATGTTGCAGCCCGCAGCCCGCCTTACGGCTACCAGCCGGGGATTTCCGAGGCAGCCTTTAATGGTCGCGCACGCCAGCTTACTCTATTTACTCCGAAAGCCGTAAATGCCCCAACAACATCTGCAGCCACGTAACGTCGGCCCTGCATCGATTACCGAAGCGTGATTTCGGTGGTCGCTGCTGAACAAAATGATGATGGTGCCCAACGAGAATATCTGCCGCCGAGGTAAAGCGAGGAAACGTATTAGGCCAGTGCTGTATGTTTTTATTCAATTGGGTATAAATCCAAACTCCATTTCGGCGAGAGGAAAGTAGATCAAACCTGGGGCGAAACCGATTTTTGTGTATTTAAGGCTAGGGTTTCCCCGCTCAGCTCCCCAGTCTATTTTGCGAAAATGCGCCCCTTTGGTGGAGGCTTAACGACCCTGACACGTGACGGGTTCGCCACCAACTTACTCAAGCGTCAGGTCTGAAATTCAGCGGGCATTTCCCAAGCAGGGACAAGGCCAGGGCCTGCGACTTACATCGGTCGGGGCCACTGTGTCGTGTGTCGATTTTGAGAACACAGTGCATAACAAAGGTCATGTATGGTAAGGAATCCAGAACCGGCCTAGGGCAGTGTTCGAAGGAGCCTCGCAGAGGGGTCTTCGATCAAGTGCCGGATTAGAAGGTACAAGTGGCTGGCTGTAGGTCACACTAAGGACACCGGTCTATAGGGCAGATCCATTTACGGCATTATCATGGACCCTCAAATTTCCGTCGGAGAAGCCCTTACACCGTTTGGGAACACCCAAGGCCAATACGGGCGTCTATTTCGGTCCGAGACTAACAACAGCCAACAGTCGGACTCATGTTGGTCTAAGCGCTGGGGCCCATTTACCAAGTAAAGACAAGTCCGGTGGCGGCGAGTCGCCTTGGTCGGGAGCGGGACCCTTGTAACAATATGTCGTGTCGGTCAGGAGACCACAGTGTCTGACAGATGGTCCCATGTTCGCAATAGGCCCGAGTCGGACACGGCAACATTTGACGGACAGGAATAGAGATTAGAAACCGAATGCTAGAGAGCCTTTTGTTGGGGAGGTCTGTCAGTAAAAGTGGATATGATAATGTTCAATGAGGGTTGGACGACCCTTAACGACCCTTAACGACCCTTAAGTGCACTTAGGCTCCTATCCCCTGGGATTCTTGCGCGGAAAATGGAAAGGGGTTGTCTAAGCATTAAATAAGAATGATCAAAATGAGGTCGAAAATGAACGTCAAAAATGCAAAGGACGTTCGTCCAGGGGTATCACATTGTGTCATTTCGGATTTCCTGAGCCACCCTGGCCACAATGCTGATTTTAAGGGAATGTTTCACATCTCAAGATATTAAAGCAAGTATTAGATATGATGCAATCAACTCACTTAAACCTATTGACATGTTTTTAAGTGAAAAAGACTGCTCTAGATGACAACATTTCCCGCTTTCGTAGATATGCCTCTCCATGCGTCATTATTTGATTACGTCATGGAAAGTTTGCATGACGTTGAGATGGTGTCAAGTAGCTGTGCAAGATTGCCACTCTAGCACTCACATAAAGAACTCCAACCCGCCAAAAGACGGCAGAAGCGGAGCGGAAGATGTTCGCTAAGCCAAATATGGTTATGCGCTCATGTTTTGGGCCTCCCTCGTAGCGTTTCTGCACAGTTACAAGAGAGTTTAAAACGTATACTTGCGTTTACATACTTGGTTTTGGCGGCATTCTCAAGTTATTCAATCAGAAACATCATTTCCGTAATAGCCAGCGACCATGCATAATTTCTTACATTACGCAGCAAAGAACGCGACTCATGGTTGGAACTGGCACAGCTTGCTCATTACTGAATGGGAGCACACTGACGTCTGTCAGAACTGTAAATCGTGCTCCTGGACGTCAGATCTGGATGGTTCTACAAAAATATTGTTATCAGCCTTAAACGTATCAAGACCTGTGATATGGCAAAATTTGAATGATGTTATTGTTGCATGCATGCATACCTGAGTGGCCTTGAAGTAATATGCACAAAACAGTCTGCACATCTTCGGACGGGCGTGTATCCCACACACTTGAAAGTTTAAAGTTTTGAAGGGACTGTTCCACATTTTGTCAGGTTTTGAACTAAATTAATCATTTTGAACAGCGTTTTGTGCAGTTAACAGCCCTGCCCATCTTAAAAATTGAGCCCCTTAGTTTCTGAGCTGCACGCTCGCGAGGATGGAGGGACTATTTCGGGTAAAATATGTCAATGTCAACGTCGCATTCATGACGTCATAACAACGTTATTTAAATCCTGCTATTCCATAGGCCATGCGGTGATCAAGGCCAAAAATATATAATGGTCGAGTCGTTCATATCTGGCGTTCGTGAGCACGATTTCCACGGTAACGACCGTCAATGGGGTCTCAATCAACGCTGTGCAAGGTAAAAAGACATATTTAAACAATGACATATCGAGCATATTTACTAAACAGGACAAAAATGGTGTTGTCTAGAGCAGTCTTTTCTTCTTAAAGATACACTAACAGTCATAGCTGAGCTTGTTTTCATTATATCCCATGCCTCCTCAGATATCTTCAAACGTGGAACACTGCCTTTAAAAGGAGTAACAATGACGCATTTAGGAGTATATTTACTGAACGGAGAAATTGTGATGTCTAAAGCAGTCCTTCTCACTAAATAGTATGCATATTACTATAAGTGAGCCTATTTCATCATATCTGATGCATGCTTCAATATCTCAACTTTGGAGCATTCCCTTTAGGAAGGTAAGGGCTGTAACTGCACCAAATGATCTTCAAAATTGCTCTTTCGGTTCAAAAACCCCATACAAATGGCAAACATTCCCTTTAATCCCCTTCAATACTATACTGAACCCATCGCCCCCAATGCACATAAGCGAAAAAGGAAACACTGGGCCAATGAAATACAGCTGGTGTCTAAGCTGCCGGTATAGTAGGCGCTAAACGCATCAAGAGACATCAAACATCAACAACATAAAAAGGTTGGAACCGATCAAATATTTATTTCAGCTTAATCTTGATATTAGGACCGGAAATTAAACTAGCCGATGTCCAGAGAAAAATCAGAATTTTAGCGTAGGTTAGGTCAGCTTTGTTGGCTCCGCCCACGTCCTATTCTACAACGTCTTACCCCTGCGTGCATCCTTGATCCGAGAAAACATGTGGAACAATTTTAAAAAGAACTCTGAGCTTGCGTACTCGTAGTACTAGAAGGAAGAAAACCACTGGCCACAGTTGCAGTTTCCATGCAACCGAGCGGTGTTAGTAGGACAACAACGGATGGCGGGCACCTGACGCTCGAGAACAGCCGCTGTGAAATAATGCTCCCGAAAGTCTTTCTAAATGAATTTGTGCCGGTCAAAAATTAGACCAGGGCGTCAGTTTTACATGTCAAGTGTTGAGAATGTCTTCTGAGGTGATAAAAAACTTAAGGAACAAGAAAAAGCGGTTCTATGCTTATTTGTCTCATTCCTCCATCAAATTCCGTCGCCGATTTGCAGTTGTGTGGATGCTCATACGTTCCTATCATAAATATATAAGTTGCACAGGTGAAACCTGCTCCCAATTACCTTCTGAAAGTTCGAATTGGCATCTTAAAGCGTTCAAAAGTACTTCTTTCTGATACAATGCCGTTTTTCGTCCGCTCACTGGCTGCCGCCCAATATAGGCAGAGACCGACGCCGCGGGGCCTACGGAGACTGCAACGCCGGGCCTCGGGGGTTTGTTCTAAAGTTTGAGACCTCGCGCTGTCAAAGCCATGCTATGTCACTCTTCTACTATTCCATTCTGAGCGAAGGTTGAAGATTCCAAGACGCCCTTGGTCACTGCCATCTCAGAGTGAGCCCAATTAGCAACGCTTTTACAAACAACTTGCTTGCAGGCGGCATTAATATTATGGTCGTTTCATTCGCCATACATACGAGCTGAAGCGGGTTAGAGTGGCTTTCCCTCAGTGGCACACCAGCTTGGAACAGGGTCTCCCTGAATTACAGCTGGCTCGCAGTCGTGTGAGATGAAGCGAGCGGGGAAAGGCATTATGAAGGGGAAAACACGTCTCAAAGCGTTGTGGGGAAAGGTAGAGAACCATTTTCTGAAATTATGCTTGGAGGAGTGCTTACGCTTTGCTTGATGTAAAGTGAAATGTATATGGCTCATCAATGATTTTCGTTTTTAAATGTCGAGGGGCTTCATGTACACGGTACACAATGCCGGACATATTGTGAACAATATTTTCGTGAATGCACAAAAATGCACACAAAAAGTTTAAGACAGGGAATGGTAAATTGTACGCATAGTTTACCTTTCAGTTCACAAGAGCGAGATGCAACTGCGCTCTTTGAGCTCCACAAAACAAGTGCGTTTATACGAAACTGATGCGAACTGCTAGGCTTGCATACGTGATTGATGTGGCTTCGCGTAGAAGGTTAAAAAAGATGTGGTAAGTGTAGTTTGAATCCATATATATATATATATATATATATATATATATATATATATATATATATACGTATGTATATGTACGTATGTGTATTTTTTTGGATAGCCAGAAACCAGAGCGTACGCCGACTTTGCCCGGGAAGGGGGGTGAAACGTGAGTGTCAATTTCTCAAGGTCCCAAGTACCTCGAGAAATTGACACCCACGGCCTGAATGACAGATTTGCGCAAATTGCCAATTTCGAGCAAGATGCATTTTAACTGATCGGGCCTTATCTCACGTCGAGGGGTGCAACAACAGGTGAGAAGGCTGAGAAAGCTCTTTCAGGCATTGGAAAATGACTTAAAAGAGCCTGCCACCCATCCCAAACAATATTGCCGAGACCTCCTTGGCGATCCTTTGTAGCAAGATGTTTCTGATCCCAAGATGTTCCTGCGGATCCAAAAGATTTTCTTAGGGATTCCGAATGCCTTCTTGGGGATCCCCATTAGCTTAAAGAGGTGGACAAGGCAAAGGGCTTCGAAAGTTATCAATGAGTTCACATTTAGTGCTAGGTGCACACTTGTACTTACGAGTCCGTCCTTGATATGCTTGCTTTGGGAGTAATGCAAGTCAGATGTGACACGAATCGTTGCCTTTCCTTGCACCGGCTTGCCGTAGGTGTACCTAGAATTGGTTGCAGTAGTTTTACATCGAACCTAAAGTGCATAACTTCCGAAAGGCACTTGCAGTTCAGGGACTAACAAAGGCATGTATCTACAGACAGCACAGTCGTAGAACGAAATAATCGCCATTTTGGATGTTTGTAAACGTAGGCACCCATGTCACCACACATACACCTCACACTAGTGCGGTATGGATCAGCAACCGTGTCAGTGGGTCATCGGCACAGTAATCACAAGGGGTAAGCGAGCACGCGTGACGCGAATATCCACCCGTCAGCGGCGTCCACAATACATCTCGGAACATAACACTTTGGCACCCACCTTCCGCACACCTTCAACGTCACTTCTTCGGCGTCACCCAGAATGAATGGGGGACCCTGGATGTTGACCTCGAACCTGGGCAGCACAAACTCCTTGACCTTGAATGTCTTTTTCACCTTACGCCCGCCGCTTGTCGCCACGTGTATGTTCCATTCACCCTGCAAACAACGAGACGGGGAATAGACAGGCTTTCGGGCCACCAGCCAGACGGTACAGGAGATCCCCCGTGGTGATCTACCGACAGATTGTTACGCACTGAGCAGCCTTGCATGCTAATCCTGCAGTGACTGCATGGCCTATCCGAGGGATAAAGCGTTTTGAGCCAAGCTGGAAGCAACCGAACTAAATTGCCAAATGTGGCACGCTTTTAGCATGTTTGACTGAAGTATTTGAGTAAAGATATCGATAGCCTTCACATCCTTGAAAGTGTAAGCTAAATAGGCCATAAGCTCTTTGTTTTTCTGCAATTAGTATGGATGTTAGCAATGTTTTTAGTTTGCATGTACTTATGAAAACAAATGTCAGACCTTCAGTATACCAGGATAAGTGAAAGGTGCCAAAAATTCAGCGGGATGTTTTGCGAAAGCAGTAATTGTTTATCCGCTAAAGCACCTTTGTTGGTTAAACCCACGTCTTCGGATTCACTCATCCGTGGCTGGGGCGGCTTCGAGCCGCTTTGAGCGCTCGCTATGTGCCCCTGACTGGCGAGGCATGCAGCCGGCAGCAGGGGCTGCGCTTAAGGTCAGGTGACGTCAGAGGGTAGGACGGACTGTGCCGAGCACTACTGCACGGTAACGCCACAAAATCATGTCACTGACCTGAAATTTGCCTGTTGGAGGGTAGGGTGGCTGCCACTTTCCTAGCTCTCCCAGTCCTACAGGTGACACATGGCTGAAGACCGAACATCGCTTACACCTGTAATTTCACGATTGCTTAAAAGCCATCCCACTCGACGACATGTTTTGTTATGGCATTATGTCTGGCAGGGAGCATCAAGCATTATTGTTCCGGTCGCGCAGGGGCGTCTGCGCTCTTAACCCTGTATTTGGGACGTCCAGCTTTCTGGCCTTAGTTACATATCAGCAGAAGCTGAACTTCAGTGCCAGATAAAGTCTATAGAATCCACCAACCCCGCGAAGACTTCTGAACTTTCAAGCTCAAACTTGGTATATATTTGCTATGGACCGGTAGAAACCGAACGTGCATATTAACGTAATCACTCAGAACACGCGGCCTTTGAAGACCGCTGCTTCCGCGCGGAAGTCTACGCCTCTGTACGCTGATCGAGCACATATACATGCTGATCTCATCCATGTTTCAGCAACATAAGTCATGTAAGCGACAAAATGACTAATACCTAATGCATGATATTTTGCTCCACTATATGGGCATGCCTCGCATAGATCATTAACCAGGCTTTGTGCAGTCATATCTACGCGAGCACAACAAAAGTGTGGAAACTTGCGCGGCTTGTGTGGCATTTAGAAATTAATCACATTATGTGAATTGTTCTGAAACTGTATGTACTTTTGGGCTGCGACGCATGTAACGGCACGTAACGCACGTGTAATGTAACGCATGTAAACGCATGTCTCAGCTAAGAGTTTCATCTATCGAAAGTATCTAGCCAATATCACTGTTTTAACTAGAGTGGCAATTGTTATCTGGGGATGTCTGATCTTCTAATTTAGCATTTGACTTAGCTTCAACACTATGGGCCTCAGGTGCGATGGGTTTTATTGTATACAGCAATCGGCGATATCGATAGCCGCATTAGCTCGCTGAGCTAACATCATCTATATCACTTAGCCCATCACAACCAAAAACCAATGCAAAAACCAATAGGTATAAACAGGAACAGGATCTGATATTTTTAAGTGGCCACGTTTATAACATCACAATGCGAGGAAATCGCTCAGAACACTCCGACAATAGTTTGTTGGGGCAACGCTATGGATTCAACACGAAAGAATTCTAACAGATATAAGTGGGCGAAAAGAAAGATGTGGTCCGCTCCGTTTATTTCTGGCTCAGCCCGTAACCGACAGGCGAGAGGGTAATCACGGCTGGCACTTTGTGTATATAAGGAGCGTCTTTGGCTCAGCCCCTCCCCCCCCCCCCCACATATTAGCCCCGCGCCTGAAAGTCAGGTCTCCAACTGCACCAGCCACACTGGTCCACGCACACTTCCACACACCCATACACCCCACGCACGCACACGCACACG